TCTTCCGATCGAGTATTGGAATGCTATACTCAGCATAAAGAGTTCACATCGCCCAATGAGCAAGACAGAGAATATATACGAATACCCTCATCGATCAGCAGATCTGTAAATACCACGAATGGGAACTCGACATGGTCGATACTTCCCCATTTCTGCCGGCTAGCATTGGCAATCAGTCACACATCAGTTGTTTGCTCCAGGAATCACATTAGCATCGTCCAATTCGGGGGAACCACAAAGGCTTCCCCGGCTGCAGTTACAATTGTCTTAGACAGCCATCCATGTCACCCCAATCTGGTGTCCCGCCCAGCTGGTTTGCTAGATTCCGAAGGGTTGGCTCGGTTGACAATGCCGGCTGATGTAGTTGATCGTACTAACGCTTGCTTGCAGGATGAGGCTTGGCCTAGCTTCATATCTCAATCCTCTGCCGAGTTGCGACCCTTTAACGCCACACCGCTTAAAATAGCTGAATGCTTAATAAATCTTCATAATTTTGGTGTTGTGCAACTGTTTGCTGGCACATGATATTTTATTGGCCCTTTCTTGGATGTATTGATAGAGTTAGTTGATCAGCATGGGGCAGCTCGCCCGATGGAAGCACCCCGGATTCGTTGACCGTACAAGTCGGGACATTCATTAGTGCATGCGCAACCGTGTTGGTCCTCCCGTCCGTATCTCTGCAATAGTTGGACCAGACGTGATACATAAGCAGTGAAGTGGTTTTTTCGTTAAATGAGGATTTGTCCTGCCTCGCCAACGTCTATTGCTACCAGGATGGTATGCATTTGATTCGAGTTTCGGGAAGCACTGTGTCCTTAGATCTAATGTTAATGAAGCCTTTCACGGCATTGGATATCCGAGAGGGATTCTGCATAAAATCATAAATAGGGTTCTAGTACCCGCCGGGCTGTGGTGCCCAGGTGGTAGAACTGAAGGACTCCTCGGTTTGAGACTTCGGTTCGGTTCGCTTCATCTTTCTTGGGATACGGGATACGTCGGCAACTATCCTGCTTCGTTTGAGACGAACTATTTATCATATGTAGTCAAAAGAAGTGACCAGCGTCCACATCCCGAACAGCACTACGTAATGAGAACAATGCCTTTCAACTTCAAATATATCAATGTAAGAAAGGCTAGGCTTTATAATTACCAGCACGTTGCGAAACAGGAAAATAGTTGTGATGTGAGTTCATTGAACGGATCAATAAGTGCTTACCCTAGGCCTCAGCACATTTCACGGTTTCTGGCTGGTTCCAATTCGTGGATGGACCCCAATATTCAGCATAGCAACCATAGATGACAATGTGCCAAACACGAGCTGTTACTGATTTTACCATTCCGGCTCATCAATAAACGATGTTCATGTATGACGAGGTTATCTTGAGGCTTCAGCACGTGTGACAGAAGAGCCAATTCAATGTTGAAATGCCACCGGGGAATACAACGTATTGGCAACAGGGCGGCGGCATTGGCACAACTGCTGTGTAGAGCCCGTCCAATAAGATCAACACTTCGTATCTCAGTGGTATGGCCAATTCAACTGTATGTCTTCAAATTTATCTAACATCATGAAACAGAAATATCCAATTCGTCGCAGAGCCCTCATTGGCTTTTACGATGGGGCTTTGTGCACCGCCTTACTAGCTGCTATAGGCAATAAGCTCTGGCCCTTCTGCTTGCCGCCTTGACACGTTTAGGAAGCTGCGTTTGTCCCCAGATTAACAAAGATTCATTGGCCGACGTGACCTGAAAACGTCAGTCACAGCCACGGGCATGCCTTCTCCCAACTTAATCTCACCGTCTCTCATGCTTCAGAGACTACCTTCACTAAGAACAACGGCCTTGAAGTCAACTATCCTGACGCGACGACCCATTCCTCGCTTTAAAAAGTCTTTCAACCACCAGAGCCTCCACAAGTTTTCAACCTCTGCCACCGTCATGAATTCAAACGAGCTGGTCCACTACCTCGCCGACAAGCCCCCCTCGGTGGTTAGGCTCGAGATTGAGAAGCACTTTGATGCCCTGAATGACAAGCAGAAGCGTTACGCTCACTTTATCAGCAAGTAAGTTTTTATTACCGACTGTGTATAAGTTGTGAAGCTCGATCAGATTGGAATGAGGGGCAACAATGCTTATGAGGGAGGGGTCGTGTGGCTTATGTTGACACAAAATTATAGAGCTGCTTTTGCTGGTACCAGAATTGTCCTTCGACAGATCTCCCCTGAGTCTGAGCCAATATTTGACTTGATCTTGACTCTCCACAAGTCTGCCAACGGCGATTGGACTGCCCTAGCAAAGAAGGCTGGCGTCGAAGAAGATGAGCTTGCCCGGTTCCTCGAGTACGCTGCTATGTTCCTTGGAAACAATGGCAACTACAAGAGCTTCGGCGACTCCAAGTTCATTCCCCGGTGCTCGGAGAAGACCGTGGCTGCTCTCGCTTCCACCTCACCCGAGGCCAACAAGTTTTACGAGGCGACAAAGGGAGGCATCTTTAGCTCTAGTAACCCCGCCATGATGCACCTTGGCTATCCAGACGACGGGCACATGACTACTTACTACCCCGAATCTTCGCACATTACGAAGGACGAAATCAAGGCTGTTTCTGACTGGATGGAGTCCAAGGGTCTTTTGCCCGAGAACAACCGACTTCGCAAGACCTCAGAGGGTAACTACGAGATACTGATCGCTTCAGCTGTCAAGGAAATCCCCAGTGAAGGAGGTGATATTGGCAAGCAGACCGATTTTACCGTGGAGGATGGACCTCTCAAGAGCAAAACAATCAAGCTGGTCTACGGCGACTATGCTGAGGAGATGAAGAACATCACAGCTTTCATCAACGGTGCTGCCGAGAATGCGGAGAACGATACTCAGAAGAAGATGCACGAGGCTTACAGCAAGTCCTTCGAGTCCGGCTCACTGGAGGCCTTCAAGGATAGTCAAAGATACTGGATCAAGGACAAGGGTCCTATGGTTGAGTCTAACATTGGCTTCATCGAGACCTATCGAGACCCTGCTGGTATTCGTGGAGAGTGGGAAGGCTTTGCCTCTAGTAAGCTTTTTATCAATATACGTCCTGGACGAGAATCTAATTACTGACTTTTTGTATAGTGGTCAACCGTAAGATTTATTCAAGTCAAATATTTGACTAGTCACTGACTGTTGCCCAGTTGAGCGAACTCGCGCATTTGGAGAGCTTGTGAAGAACGCCCCCAAGCTCATTCCTCTGCTGCCTTGGGGCTCGGAGTTTGAGAAGGATAAGTTCCTGTCTCCCGACTTCACATCCCTCGAGGTTCTTACCTTTGCTGGTCAGTGATCTAGTGATACTAAATCTATCAAATCCACACATGCTAACATTGAGCCTAGGTTCTGGTATTCCTGCTGGTATCAACATGTAGGTCCCCGGAACAAATCGATATGAAGCGGAAAGTAGATTGCTGACATTGTTTGCAGCCCCAACTATGATGATATCCGTCAGACTGAGGGTTTTAAGAATGTGTCACTGGGGAATGTTCTCAGTGCCAAGGCCCCGGATGAGAAGATTCCTTTTATTCGCGACGAAGATCTTGAGGTCTACAAGAAGCAGCGAGATGCTTCCTTTGAAGTTCAAGTTGGCCTCCACGAACTTACTGGTATGTAAACTTACCTCGAGTCCCTTGAATCTACTGCTCAAAATCGTTAGGCCATGGTTGCGGTAAACTTCTCCAAGAAACATCCCCAGGCACCTACAACTTTGACAAGGAGAAACCTCCCGTCAGTCCTGTGGATAACAAGCCTATCACAACCTGGTACAAGCCCGGGCAGACTTGGGGTTCCGTCTTTGGTAGCATTGCTGCCTCGTACGAGGAGTGCCGTGCCGAGCTTGTTGCTATGCATCTGAGCTGCGAGTTCCCCGTTCTCAAGATTTTCGGATTTGGTGATGGTTCCGAGGATATCAATGGCGAAGCTGGTGATGTGCTTTTCGCCTCCTACCTATCCATGGCCCGAGCTGGACTTGCTTCCCTTGAGATGTGGGATCCCAAGAGCCAGAAATGGGGCCAGGCTCATAGCCAAGCTCGCTTCTCCATCCTCAAGTGCTTCCTTGAGGCGGAGGACGATTTCTGCAAGCTTGATTACAAACAGGATGATCTTTCCGATTTGACCATCAAGTTGGATCGCTCCAAGATCCTTACAGCTGGTCGAGATGGTAAGATTTAACTCCGACGACTGGACATGAGCTAACAAATTCGCCAGCTGTTGCCAAGTATCTCCAGAAGCTGCACATTTACAAATCTACCGCCGATGTTAAGACTGGTACTGACTTTTACGTGCACATGACAACGGTTGACACCGAATTCTGGGGCAAGAAAGTCCGTGACATTGTTCTCAAGAACAAGCAGCCTCGCAAGGTCTTTGTCCAGGCCAATACGTCTCTGGATGAGGCATCTGGAAAGGTTTCGATCAAGCACTACGAAGCCTCGTTGACTGGCATGATTGAGAGCTGGGTAGAGCGCAACTTGTAAAATAAAATAAAAACCGAACATCATGGCTGCATTAAGTAGATGGCAATCCTAGGATAAGGGAAGAAATGAGATAGTACTTTTTGATGTTACGAATCCTCACCTCAGTCACCCTTTGCCCACCCGGAGAGGATTGACACACCCGCAGACCGATGAACGCACATAAAAATTCAAGTCTTGTTAATCATTCATAAATCGATGTCCATTTTTGACGAGATCAGATCTGAGAACTCTTAGCTCACACCAGTTGTTTTTATCACTCAGGAGATGGGATGTCCGAGTGGAGTTCATCATCATCGGCCTCTGACCGGAAGCCTCTAGAATTTTGTATGCTCGTTTGTTTTTTTGACTGTAAAACCTGATTACAGACGCCAAAATAGGACCGATGCCGTCGACTTCCAAATGCAATTGGCCAAACCAGCCCATTTCGGAGACCCTTGCCGTTCTACAACCCGTTGTGTCGCAACCCCGGTACTCCCATCACCCCGGCACAAGATTGCACGTTTACCAGGCCATCTCGTGGGGCTTGTCACCCTTCCTCAAGCTGAAAGAGCTGGAGAGGTAAGAAGCCAGCATGTCAACCTTCTTGATGTTGGCAATCAGAGCCTTGTCGATGGCCTTCTGGTCGGCGGCACGGCTGCTGTTGACCTCCTTCTTCTGTAAAGAGCTGTCAGTGACCTGATACTTGGCGAGTACTGTTCTGGAATTGTTGTATCGTACCTGGGGCTTCTCTCCCTGCTTGAAGAAAGCCTCCTCACCAGCCTTCTCCTTGGCCTTCTCAGCGGTGAAGTACTTGGGCTGAGAGACCTCCTCGATCTTCTTCTCGTCGAGACCGGAGATGTCGACCTTGTAGGAGGTAGCGATGACGTATCGGGAGTTAACTCGTCGCAGAGGAACACCGTTGATCTTGAAGGGGCCGGTGACGAGGAGGACACCCTGGTCGAGGGACTTCAGGAGAATGACACGCTTGCCACGGAAGCGGCCAGCGAGGAGGATGAGGACAGTGCCGGGCTGGAGGGACTTGCGAGGGGCCCAAGATCGGACAGCCTTGCGGACCTGTGGTTTTCAGCTGTTAGCATGCTGGCACTTGGTTATGCTGAAGAATTGCTGCAGGCAGTTGCTATATGTAGATGAAGTGCAGTCGTCAATCGATATTTGTCGCAGGCTTTGCAGATCTGTGCGTTCGATATATATGGCATTGAAATTCGAAGCCGCTTCGTCGTTCAAAGTATGTACTTGTTGCGATGGCAGTCGGATTGCCATGGACCAAACTCATTCTCTCGACTCCTCGGTTCCCATATCCAAACCGCGCACTCCAAAACATAACGCAACTGGCTGCAAGTGCATCGTAATCATCACCAAAAGACTTACCTTCTTGTTCTCGGCATCGTCGTCAGCGGGGTACCACTTCTTAGCCTTCTCCGAAGAGGCAGGAACCTCTCGGGTCGACTTTCCGAATGTCTTGCTCGTGGGCTTCGCCGACATTGTGACTCTCCTGGCTGGTTGACTTGGGGTTGGGTGAAAAGAGGAAGTGAAGTCGGTGGTGTTGAGGTGGTGTAGGCCCCAAAATGTAAATTGTCTTTGTGGGCGAAGCCTAGAAAGTGTGGCGAACTGCCCAATCAAACTTGAGCCAAGATCCCCACTGAAAGAGTCACGTGGCAGCTCTTCTTAGGGCAGGTTGCTGGTTGTGGTTGCCAAAATTTTCTAGCGTGCCACTTAGTAACGAAATACCTTATAAGTTCCATTGTTTAGCAAGACCAACAATGTACAAGCATCACATGATTTAATTACGCTTGAATGGTAGAAAAATAAGAACGTACCAGAAGATTTGCGCTTGCAAATAAACGTGTTCCTGGTCTCCTTAACTTGCTTCTCATCAGACGAGCCGCATCTTGGGTAACAGAATATATGCGTTAGGCGATCACACAAGATTTCTGTCTTGCGCACAGTCAGTCACATGATTATTGGATACAAGCTGGCTCTACTTATCTTATCAGCTCTAGCGTCTCTCAATGACGGATGATCGAACTTGCGAGAATATGCTCCATTCACCTTGAAGCGTGTAGCCGAGTTTCGTGTCGTAGATAATAAAAGGTCTCCCGCAGGTCGAAGAAATCCACGGTCTTGCCCTCGTTTTCTTTCCTTTAGACGTTCTTTGCATGCCTTCTATCACAGTGCCTAACATGCAAGCACGCAAGCAAATAATCGCATCAACACAGCGCATTGCTGCTAGTGCGCGGACCCGTTCCGTGCAACCACTTACACGGGTACTAGCTACCCAACCTTTGAGACCGACTTCTCTACGATTGATTCCAAGTCTTGCTATCCGGTCATATGCCAATGGCCGTCCACACCCTCCTGGTGGCACTCACCGGATGAACATGGGTGGCGAAGAAGAGAAGCCTGCTCTGGAACAATTTGGTATTGACTTGACTGCCCGAGCCAAGGATGGAAAGCTGGATCCAGTTATTGGAAGAGACGCAGAGATTCAGCGAACCATTCAAATCTTGTCAAGGCGAACCAAGAATAACCCAGTCCTGATCGGCAATGCGGGTACTGGAAAGACTGCAATTCTTGAGGGTCTTGCCCTCCGTATTGTCCGAGGTGACGTCCCTGAGAGCATCAAGAACAAGAGGGTCATCAGCCTTGACCTTGGCTCTCTCATTGCCGGCGCTAAGTTCAGAGGAGACTTTGAAGAGAGGTTAAAGAAGGTCTTGACAGAGGTGGAACAAGCTCAAGGAGAAGTTATTCTTTTTATTGATGAATTGCACACACTCCTCGGACTTGGGAAGGCTGAAGGGTCTATTGATGCATCAAACCTCCTGAAGCCTGCTTTGGCCCGTGGCGAACTTCAATGTTGTGGCGCAACAACTCTCAACGAATATCGTCAAATCGAGAAGGACGTTGCGCTGGCTCGACGATTCCAACCGATCATTGTTAGCGAGCCCTCTGTGGAGGATACTATCAGTATTCTCCGAGGTATCAAAGACAAGTACGAAGTTCACCATGGTGTCCGCATTACAGATGGAGCTTTGGTTGCTGCTGCTACATTATCCAACCGCTACATCACCGATCGATTTTTACCAGATAAGGCTATTGACCTCATGGATGAAGCAGCCAGCCATCTCAAACTGCAGCATGAGTCCAAGCCCGAAGATATAATGCGCCTTGACCACAAGATCATGACCATCCAGATTGAACTTGAAAGCTTGAGGAAGGAATCAGATATCGCTTCCAAGGAGAGGCGTGAGAAACTTGAAAGTGACCTCAAGAAACTCAACGAGGAAATTTCTGAGCTCAATACGCGCTGGGAGAAGGAGCGTGCTGAGATCGAATCAGTTAAGAAGATCCAAGAAGACCTCGACAAAGCCAAGTTCGAGCTTGAGCAGGCACAGAGAGAAGGGAACTTTGGCCGTGCCTCTGAGCTCAGGTTTGGTGTTATCCCTAATCTCGAGAAGAAGTTACCCAAGGAAGGAGAGGCTCAAGAAGCAAAGTCCAGCGATACTCTGATCCACGACTCTGTCAGCCCCGACGATATCGCCAATGTCGTCTCCCGCATCACAGGCATTCCTGTGTCGAAGCTGACTTCCGGACACATAGAGAAATTGGTTCATATGGAAGATTCCCTCCGCGAAGCGGTCAAGGGCCAAGATGAAGCCATCAAGGCAGTTTCTAATGCCGTCCGTCTCCAACGAGCTGGCCTGAGCGGCGAGAACAAACCACTGGCTTCCTTTTTCTTCCTGGGCCCTACTGGTGTGGGTAAGACAGAGCTGTGCAAGAAATTGGCAGGTTTTCTTTTCTCGACCGAATCTGCTGTTGTTCGCTTTGACATGTCAGAATTCCAAGAAAAACACACCATTTCTCGACTTATTGGTGCACCGTCCGGTTACGTCGGCTATGAGGACGCTGGCCAACTGACCGAAGCTGTCCGCCGTAAGCCATATGCTGTGCTACTATTTGACGAGTTTGAAAAGGCACACCGCGATATCTCGGCTCTCCTCCTCCAGGTCCTTGATGAGGGCTACCTCACCGATGCCCAAGGCCACAAGGTTGATTTCAAGAACACTATCATCGTTCTGACATCGAACTTGGGCGCCGATATACTTGTTGGCCAAAACCACCTTCACCCCTATAGTGAGACACCCGATGGCGAGATCGACCCATCAGTCCGCAAGGCTGTCATGGATGTTGTCGCCTCGGCTTACCCACCCGAATTCCTTAACCGTATCGACTCTTTCATTGTCTTCAAGCGTCTCGCCCGCAGCGCTATCCGTGATATTGTCGACATTGGCCTTAAGGAGCTCCAGCAGCGTCTTGACGACCGCCGTATTATCCTTTCGGTTCCCGACAATGTCAGAGACTGGCTTGCGGAGCGTGGTTACGACCCCAAGTTCGGTGCGCGCCCCCTGAACCGACTCATTACCAATGAGATTGGCAACGGCCTCGCAGACCATATCATCAAAGGGCAGCTGAAAATGGGCGAGACCGCTGAGGTTAAGATCCGTGACGACAAGGAGGGCTTGGATATCATCGTCAAGCCCAAGGATGCTTGAATTACCTGATTATTAAGGACTATCCAAGATTTTTTTAATGAGTTAATGTGTTTCATGTCTAATAATTCGTACAATTTGTATAACAGAAGCGTATATAACATCATAGAATGTAACTGAACACCAAATGATGCATAACCACTCAATTGAGACCAACGCATCCCAAAACGCACTGAAGTCTTGTTTCCTACTACTGGTGGAATTAATTCTGTTTGGAACATTGTGGCTTAAATCTTCGATGCAAAGCAGACTTGTGCGATCCTCTAGAAGGCAGGCTCTTGACTCAGGTCAGTGTCTGTCATGGATCCGTTCCAGATACGTTTGCACTTCTAAATTGTCTTCCGCTCAAGACTAAAATCAGCACTCTAGACACAAACCTCTGTTCCTTTTAGCCAAAAAGACTAGAGACCGTGTGTCACTCGAATCGACCAAGTCTCGCGATTTCACCAAAGATTTGGAATAAAACATATAGAATCTCTACAACAGCTCAAACTTGCGGTGGCCCGAATTCATGCCTCATTTATAACCCTCGTTACTTGAGTTGCTCATCATGGTCATGTTCCCTAAGTGACATGGGAAAGAAAGAAATTAACAAACGATAGATATACCAGTGCGCCACGGTTTGCGAGAGTATTGTAAAATCAGCGAGGATGCATTCTTTTCAAAGAGCAAACAACACCCGATTGACGACTGTACAAATATCCCGGGGATCCCCATAAGACGCCTCCCATCATCACCCGACTTTTCCTCCAAGAAGAAAAAAAGAGAAAGTACGTTCTGTGGTCCTCAGGAAGCGAGCTGACGCTAGCGATGGCAAGCAGATATTGTTGACCAGAAGGCTCACAGTGAAGCACCATTGAGAGAGGAAGAAAGCGTTAAAAGAGGTTGCTTAAACAGAAAACGTGAATAGACGTGACTTTGGTTCAAGGATTTATCTTCGATTGGTTGACCAATAACTTTGCAAATTACAACCGAAACCTCGAGTCGAGACAAAGAGCCATTTGAGAGTATATGGCAGAGCAGGAGAGAAAAAGCGAGTTTTTATGGAGAGGCCTCTCGACACCTTTCTACTGGTGACCCGCCTTTCGGAGGGTGTTGGCGAGCCACTCAAGACCCTCATAGAGACCGTCACCGGAGGTGGCACAGGTGGACTGGATGTACTATTGATAGAAGAAAGTAAGAGGTCAGCATGTGAACAAAGAGACACCATCTGGGCCCAGATGTTGATTGCCCATTACTTACCCAGGCGCGTTGTCGCAGGCTGTGGAGGCCAAGCTTGTCTGTGATCTCGGCGGCGTTCATGGCGTTCTAGGAGTAGCGTAACGTTAGTATATGGTACTGCGGTTAAATGACACGTTGAGGGGAGATTTGGGAGAAAGTCTCGAGGTGGGGTCGTGACGTACGGGAAGATCCTGCTTGTTGGCAAAGACAAGAAGGATGGCATCGCGAAGCTCGTCCTCGTTGAGCATGCGCTGGAGCTCCTCTCGTGCCTCGACAATACGATCGCGATCGTTGGAGTCAACGACGAAGATGATACCCTGAGTGTTCTGGAAGTAGTGTCTCCACAGAGGACGAATCTTGTCCTGACCACCGACATCCCACACGGTGAATTGAATGTTCTTGTACTCTACAGTCTCGACATTGAAGCCTGGTAAGATGAGAAAGAAATCCGTATGTCAGCGGCATGAAGGGTTTGTCAGGATCGAGAGCGTCTCATACCGATAGTGGGAATGGTGGTGACAATCTCACCAAGCTTAAGCTTGTAGAGGATGGTGGTTTTACCGGCGGCATCAAGACCAACCATCAGAATTCGCATCTCCTTCTTCCCCCACAGTCGGTCGAAGAGCTTTGAGAAAGCGAGACCCATGATTGCGGTTTACGGCTTCGAGGCCTGTGTGTCTAGGTATAGAAAAAGAGGTCCTAAAGGTGAAGGCGCAAGGTCAGCGATGCTGTGGATGGATGTTGAAAGAAGACGACGTGGCGAGGGGTAAAAGGGGGGATGAGATAAAGAGGGAAGAGACAAAGGCCACAGGCAGGCTGAGACAATATATGGAAAGACGTCTAGCCAAGGGAGGAACAGGAGGTTGGATGTTTTGGTGATGGTGGAGGCGGGACGGCTTTATGGAGTATCGCGAAAGGACACCTAAGGGAATGATCAAGGCAACGATCAAGAGCTCATCCAACAACACAACTCCGTCATCACCATGATCGGAGTCCTAGATAGCCCTTCAAGCTTGTAAGCACCCCCGTTCCAGGCTGCCGCTATCGCCCGATATGACCAGCTATGCAATGCTGTACGTCGATAGTTGATTCAGAGCCATCACGAGGCGGATCAACGGGGTAATAGCATGACGGCGAATTTGGTGATCGGGCGGCGACGACGTGAGACGGGAGCTTCTTGAAGAGACCATCGAGAGGGGGATCGTGAATACACAAGCAGCAAACAGCGGGATCTAGACAGACTCGAGCAAGAGACAGGAAGACGCTGAACTTACTGGATCGTGGGGCGGTCCTTGGAGTGGTGGTGCAGAAAAAACGACGAGCGGCGATGGATGGATGGATATGGATGGATTGGGGGTGGGCGCTGTCGTGTGGTTTGACTTGTCGGTGTGAGAAGACAATCACTCGGGGAGGGGTGAGAGACATTATCGCTCTCTTTTTGGGCTCCAGCTGCTAGGTTCTTATTTTTTCTGGCCTCGGGCTGTTTGTTACTGGGGCTGGGGCTAGTGAGCATGCCGTTAGAGGGGAAATTACTGGTTGGTCGCTGGAAAATACTGGAGCCAAGGCCTATTTTTCGACGACATCTCAGGGGACAGACAGGGAGGGCTGAGGGGCAAACGCAATTGCACCGCCACATGAGGTCCTCTTGATCTCGGGTACTCGTTTCTAAGCGATTCAGGTACTTTGATCAGAGAAGTTTGTGAATGGCGACACTTGTTGTGTCAGTCTCGTGTCAAGATATGCCATTCGCATATTTCTAAGCTTGAAAGTTCTGAGCGCTGTAGTGCTATCTGGGAATGTATGTCGTCTCCAAAATTGCTTCTCAACGTCAGATCACACGAATTCAACGCCGCGCAATCAGTCCCGCCATGATCCATCTCATCCCTTTTTGAAGTCGCAAGGACAGATAAACGACAATCCAAGGTAATCTCTAAGCCCTTGTTTGATCAAGCCACAGCAAGACCCCACCCGCCCACTTCCCCCTTTAGGCTTGGGGATATGGGATTGGCTTGTGAATTTTGGCAAGCAGACAAAGGTGCAAGCTGGCAGGAACTCAGATGCAAGCTCGGCAAAACCGTGGCTGCCCAGACGAGAGCCGCAACAGGAGCAACCCGCAGCTCCTCCAATTAGCTGCGAAAAGGTGTCAATTCGTCGTGATCCAAACTCCATACTTGACTTAGTGGACACTGGTCAATAGCTCCAACACAGGGATTCAATGCTCACGATCAGAGCACTCTAGCATCGCAAACACCCACGACACTCCTTTGAAGTTATAGCGATCGATCGGATCTATACACACCCGATAATGTACTTCGTCTCTGCGGCCAAGGCCCTTGTGGCCGCTGCTGTCTTCTCAGCTGTCACTGCTCACAACATCGTCCTGCCTGCTCACGGCCGTGAATGCTTTCACGAGTCCCTACACAAGGATGACACTATGACTGTCACTTTCCAGGTTGGCGATCGGGAATTTGGCAGCGCAGGCAACCTTGACATTGACTTCTGGGTACGTGGCTTGGGGAGTCAGGCAAACAATCAGGATATTAACTTATAGCCAGATCACCAACCCTGCTGGTCAATACGAGACAAACGAGAAGAGCATCTCCAACGGCGATTATTCGTTCACAGCTAAGCATGATGGCAAATACATATACTGCTTCGGAAATGAGAACTGGGGTGCCAACACCAAGGAGGTCTCCTTCAACGTCCACGGAATCGTCTACGTGAGCGAGCACGAGATGCCTGCCGACCCCCTCGACCGTGAAGGTAAATGAGCATTCTCCCGTCCGGGAATGGCTAAGTTAGCTTACAACATTCTGCAGTTCGGAAGCTGTCCGATCTTCTTGCTCAAGTCAAGGACGAACAAGAATATATCGTGATGCGTGAGCGCACCCACCGAAACACCGCCGAAAGCACCAACAGCCGAGTCAAGTGGTGGAACATGTTCGTCATTGGTGTTGTCATTGGTGAATCTCTCTTCCAGGTCTGGTGGCTGCGACGTTTCTTCGAGGTCAAGCGGGTGGTTTAAGGGGTAGACTTAGGTGCATGACGGCATGATAAAAGACCAACTCACTGAAATACTTGGAAATGTTGTTTGTTTGATGAACCGCAAATGTGAAGACCGGATTGGCGCAGCATTATATTGGGAGCACTTCGGGGAGGATAAAACAATCCTACAGCAGTGGAATTGCAAAACTGGGCAAATATGATAATATGGAGAGTATGTAATGTAACATTTTACGTTGACAAGAGCCTATGCCGCTTGCATCTGGATCAGGACAGGGCCCCAGGAAGTCTACGTGACTGCTTTGATGTTATTTTTACAAATTATCTTCAATAAATGCACACAGTTTTTTGAAATTTCAAATTCATTATTCAACCCGAGCACAGTCTATGACCAATTATCCTGGAAAACATGTCTTGTGTACTTCAATGCCTCGTAGCTCAAATCAAAGTCATTCATCTCGTTGGCATATCTCATCACTGACATGACACGATATGAACCCGTAAGAAAACTCCAGAAAAGCAAAACCAACGCCTTGTTTTGACTCTCAAAGCCATTCCATGCAAAAAGGTAAGGAGATCATTCAGGCTCCAGGATCAGACTCGGGGGCTTTACCCGCCTCAACATCGGCCTTAGGGGCTTCAACAGGCAGCTCGACATCTTTGACGGGATGAAGCAGCATAGGAGGCAGACACATTCTGCCCTCGCCACCACGCATATTGCCAACTCCCTTGCCCTTTTTGCTCTTATCTTCTGTGCCTTCAAACTCCTCGCCGCCGTCATTGTTCACTCGAAGACCTAGCCAGCGACGATACATATTTGGTGCGAAGCCCGAATTGTAGAACCAAGAAAGGCCGTGCATGTTGTGTTCGCGATCACCAAAGATGCTGGTTCGAGAGCCTCCACTTGCACCGTCGCGGCCGTTGTTGTAAACCTGTGCCATATACGCTGTAGGCCAGTTGCGATCAACATAGACAGGATGGGGCACAGCGACGGCCTTGTAGCCATGCTGCAGAGCGACGGTGGCAGGCCACATCTCAGGGAAGGCGAATTGTTTCTTGAAAGCCGTCATTTTGTGCATAGTCGTCAGCAGTCGCCGCGACATACGCGAAGTGGTGATAATGTTGGCCCGGCGGGGAGGGAGTCCCTCGGTCCGGTTGTAGCCTGTGATGTCCTCCTTGAGACCCCAAGTCGTACCATCAGGGTTAAAGATCGGGTTAAGTGCAATGTAATCGGCCTCTTCTCCAACGCCCCATTTGTAGTGATCCTTCTCGTAAGAAGTGGGAGCAACAGGATCGTTGCCAGGCTCAAACCAGTCATCATCATCCTTAGGACGAAGGGGTCCCCATACAGTGCGGTGGCCTTTGGTGTCAGAGTCAGGGGACTTGCCGTCTAGACCAGGAACTCCCTTCCAGACATTGTCAGCGCCTACGACACCCATCTGACTCTGGACCCGAGCCATTTGTGAGAAGTCTTCCCAGCTGCCGTGAATACTGGGGAAATAGAAGCGAGAATTGCGCTCCCAGAGACCTTTCCGAGGCTGTGATTTAGACCAGTTCTCAAGCTTGGTAAAGAGATCGTAGTAGTGTCCTGTGTAGCGCACATCCATTTCCCACTGCCAGAAGTAGTCGTATTCAGGATGCTTGTGAGCAAAGTACTGCATGGCCATGGACAGACCGCGGTACACGCCGTGAACGGGGAGATCAGGACCACGAGTGAAGTGGTCGTAGATACCCTGGTAAAGAGCGAGCATCTGTGTCTCGGACCACAGCGTAACCAAGCCCCTGAACTCTTCAGGAATGGCCTCCTCAATGCGCTCGTGGTAGATTCTTTCGTCCGCCCAAACCGGATGAGCAGCTTCATTCTTGACCTGAACTAGGAGATGGATATCATAGCGACCACCAGATGTCACAGCGAGCTCAGTAATGAGAGATCGAAGGTTGGCAATATCATCTTCGCGCCACTTGTACTCGTCCCAGCATCGTACAACAACAGCAGTTCGTGATACCCCGCTCCCAGCAGCCTTGGGCGACGCATTATTGGAATGCCCAGCGTGTCCTCCCTGGCTTTTCTCGTCCTCCCCATTATCCTTGGGTTCGGTCTCGTGGGGCTTTCCAGACTGCGACTTTTCTGCTTTTGATTCCTGAGGCTTTGACTCACTCGTTTGAGACACAGAAGCCTCAGTAGGCTCAACCTTTGAGTTTGCGACCTGTGATGCCTCCGACTTGGATTGTTGAGTAGTCTTCGGGTTTGACGTCTCAATCTGGGAGGCAGCGGTCTCCTTGTCAGCCTTGGACTTATCCTCCTCGAGACCGCGGCGCTCCAGAGTTGAAGTAGGAAGTGGCTTAGGCTTAGGTTCGTGCGCAAAGAAACCATGAGGAGCCTGTATTTTGGAGGGAAGCTCCTTGAAGCGGGCCTGGTTGGCCTTAAAGCAACGGCGCTGGACATCAGCCCAGTCAATCTGTCGATAGTCCACGCGGGGAGTCTTCTCCCAGACAGCATCCGACCCTTCCTTTTGTCCATGTTCACCAACGCTAAGACCGCCATTTCTTGAGGAATAGCCAAACCCATAGGGGCCATAGCGGCCATAACGGTCGAAACAAATGTTCTCGGGCAGGTTCAGGGTCTCATAGGATCCGATGGCATGCTCAGGGAATCCTTGGGGGCGACCATTATAGTATCGGAGCTGGGGAACCCGTATTGTGCCATCAGCATCTAAAAAACATTCTTTGCTTCCGGTCTCCTCGCTTCGGTTCGCATAATCGCTCCAGTCGTTGCTTTTAGGGAGCTTCTTCTTGCTGGCCTTGGGATCATCCTGGGGCTTATCCTCCTTTGCCTCCACGGCACCTCCTTTTGTCTCGGCCTTAACGTCGTCCTCTGGTTTAACTTCGTCCCTCACTTCCTTCTTGGTAGGATGCGCGCCTTGAGCTTGGGCTTCAATTTCTTCGGTAGCAGCCTTGTCGGTTTCGTCGGTATCTTTGTCGCTCTTGATTTCGTTTTGCTTACTCCAGTCATTGCCTTCACTTAGCATCTCAGGCTCATCCTTCACATGAGGCCATTCCGGCTTTAGCTCTTCGAAGGTGACCAGGCTCTTGAGACCACCATAGTATCTTTCCAAAAAGGGGAACTTCTCCCAAGCAGGTGGTGGTGGTGGTGGGCGGTTATCAACCTTACCGTTGGCAACTTTCCAGTTCTCAACTTGGCTGGCTCGTACAAGACTCAAGACCATAACGATAATGAATGTAATAACAGTGCAAAATAAGTAACGAGTGACCTTGTTTGGCATTCGGTAGGGGTACACTTTGGCGATCCTTCGTCTAAGAGGGAGGGGTTTCTTCTGGTGACTGGGCAACATCAAAAGCCCACTGCTCGCAGACCCAGATGTATGCCTTGAAGAGCCAGCGGAAGAGCTCTCGGGGGAGTATGGCTCGTCTTCGTAGTCATCTTCGTCTTCGGTTGAATAGTCATCGTCAGAATATCGCTCCTTCGTTGGAGAGTTGACTTTTTGATATAGTGGGAGCTGAGGCTCGCGCGGCCGCAGTGGATTTGGCAGCAACCCCATAATGGGACTATTATATATCTCTGAGAAGGAATGTTAGCGATTGAGGGAGGAATCTTGGGTCTCAGAACTGACCAGAGGATACTGACCTTTTCGACCAGATGGAACAATATCTCAACACTCTGTGATACTCAATTGTCAAAGTTAGAGTGACTTGTTGATGCTTAAAATAGCAAGTTGCTTAAATAAGATGTGCTCCTGAGTATTACAGAAAAAAAAATAGGCATATAAAGTATAGAGAGTTGTGGAAAAGTTGTTATCTCGCTGCTCCTTAGACCGCTCTTAGCTGTGATTGACCCATGATGGGAGCTCCGTCATTCGCTGGTCTGTTTTGTTACGAATCCGGCTGTTGCTGAGCAACGCTCAGCTTGGGCTTAGCTGCGACGTCAGCTCGACGACTTGTACCGCCAAGCATGGATGACAATCAAATAGCCGCTGACGAGCCAAAGGCTGTTTGGATCCATGCATGGATGTGAGGCCTTCCATGGATTGAGTTTCCCAGGGTCTTTCGACACCTCGTCTTGCATGTTTGCCAATGCTCGTGCGGTTGTATTGATCAGTGCAAACTGGCTGTGCCTCAGCTTCAGTTCCGAGTCAAGAATGAGGAGTGAGATGAATAGGGAAACGGCCGAGTAACTCTCCTTCTTTCTTGTCCAATTCCATGCAAATGCTTCAATACCTGGTCGTTTGGCGTTTAGATAGCGCGAAGATATTATTCTGACCACCATCACAGCGCTCTGTCCAGGGTAGCTGTGACGATCTTGGAGCCAGACAAGTCAAGTTTCACAGAATGCTCAAGCAAATAATCCTATGCCGTCTTAGGCTTTCTCATTGCGATCCGATACGTCGCTCGCTAGTGACAAAATGTTGTCCTATTCGTCGGAAATTCCAGAGCCACGAGAATGTGTAGCTTCAATTCAACGTCATGCCCCGCCGACGGCTGCAGTGCATATCAATTCACTCCTGTTCTAACCAAACAGATCGATCAAATCCAAGGCTTGCTTTGCAGCTCGCTACGGTGGCTGCCAACACGCCTGTCGGAACGTCGGGGTTGGGTTGCTTAGTTGCGACGCTGGCTGAGCATCATATGACGATCCCCTCCTGTCGCTTCTTTCACCGTCTCCAATTCTTGACTTGACCTTGCCCTTCAAGACTCGGCTGTTGTCTCAGGCGATTTATTTAAATTCTGCATTGCTTCACTCTCCGATTTTATTCGGAAGAGGTCGACAGTTGTAAATCGTTCCACAAGCTGAAATACAGCTCTCATCAATACATCAATCACACTTACACGGCTCTCCAACACCCCGCTCTTCAACCACATAGCGGCATTGTGGTCGCCAATTTGTCCCAAACAAGCCCTCTTCATCTTCAAAGAAAGAGCCTACTCTGCCCTTCTATCTCAAGATGTCATCAATTGCAATCGCTTCAGCCGAGACCTTATCCTCTCCCCCTCCCGATCTCCAAGGCGAAGCTGAATTGGAACATCTAAAGATCTCCTATGCTCTTCGCCAGCAGCCCGTTTCCATAACTCTTGATGGTAAAACCATCTTCTTGTCGTCCCTTGTCTTAGTTCTGCTTATTCACTTCCTTGATCCATATCACGCCGAGGTAGTCATCGCTTTATTCCCCATAGTGTTAGGCGTCCACAACGACTACCAGAATTTCCTCAACCTTGGCCCTGGTGGCACGCCCTCCACTTTCAGCGGCTACCTCCGTATATCATGGTTCCGTCTTTGGGCTCTCAGCGACCCGTTTGCAGCCCCAGAGCCTGACCCTATGCGTCTCCCAACATCAGGTATCCTCCGACGCCAGCGTCTCCCATACCGCGCAGGTCCTCGACCTGTTGTTGCTGGCATAGCACCCCAAAGACAACTTGATCAGCATGGATCTCGAGTATGCTACCGAGCTCTCCGCTGGTCCATGGCCAAGTTAGCGAATAGGAGCCCTAAGAAGTTTGGCACCGAGAAGTCGTGCATAGAGAAGCATGGGTTGGCACTGTTTGCCAGGCACCCAGTACAAACGAATTGCCAGGGCGAGATCTGCCATGTTCACGACTCAGACCACTCCATGCATATGTGTTTGCACCCGGACGACATCAGGGAGGTGTTAGAAAAAGGCTGGGGTCAGAGACATCCACTCGCTTGGAGAAGTCGGTTCCTCAAGAGCCCCGTCTCCCCCGACTTTGTCATGATCTATGCACCACGAGGTGAGGCTTGCTTCTAGACAATTGGCAAGAAATTGCGACCATGAACAATGGGCTGACAAGACTTTCATTAGATGACGAAGAATTGCAGGTCATCTGCAACATTATAGAAGCTGCTATATGGTACACCGTCGCCGAAGAACTCGAGATGGGGATCTGTCCAAAATCCATGTAAGCCTACATCGAGTCTGGTATATGGATGCGAAGAGCAAAATGCTCATATCGTGAGAATGAATCATTGTCTAGGATATGGCTTCTAGTATCAGAGTTAATGGGTATCTTGCAACGCAATAAAATCTTCTTCCAATGTCAACATCGGACGTAGACCTTCTAATCTGAGTCTCCCTGGCTCGTATCGTTCTTCGACTGCTTGAACTTCTCTTGTCCTGTCGCTAGGAAAGCTTCCACTGTTCGACCATCAAAACTTCGACCATGCATGAGGTTGATACATGCACGGGCTGAATCCGCATCTTTGAACTTGACTGAGACTATGCCTTCTGGTTCTTGGTCGAACAGGACAACATTTGTCACTGTACCCAGCTTGGCACATTCTTCCCGGATGTCCTCCTTGATCTCCAGCAGGGCAGCAGGGTCCTCCTCAAGCTCTTCCAGCGTAAACATATGCCGAAGAATCACAAGCTTGTCCCACTTGGTCGCGGTCTCCGGCTGGCCCGGGTAGGGCACGTCGTCATCCCAGTCTGCCAGCTTCGCGTCGAGTTTCTGAGTCTTCTTGATGATCTTTTGCCTGTCGCGATCCTTGTTCTGTGGTTTACGCTCAGCTGTGACATTCCCCCCTTCCCCACCTGCACCACCTTCCTGGTCGTATTTAACTTTCTTGTAACTTGAGTCTGCAGCCTGAACGCGCATCCGTCCTTCACGTGTGCCACTGGGAGTGATTCTGAAGTCTGTATCATCGAGAAGCATAATGGCCATCTCTACGCTCTGGGGCTTGAAGAAAACAATCAGCGCGTCGCCCTTGAAGTTGCCATCTGAGTCAGTGTATAGTTTGATCCGTGGTGCTCCGCTGTCAATTTCCTCTGCGATAACGCCACCCTTTCGAGAGAAAAGATCGTGGACTTCCTCAACCGTTGCATCAGCAGGTAGACCTGTGACATAGATGGCTGTATTCTGTTTAGGCTGTTGAGGCGCCTTTTGCTTCTTGTTTGGTCGTGAAGGTTTACTGGGCTCGGGAGTCTACTTAATAGTTAGCTTCAATAACCTTTCGGTAAACACGCAGTGAGACAGTTTCGACAGCGAAGTGATGTTTGGACGTACTTCAGAACCATGGCTCGATTCATTCTTGCGTTTTTTTGCTCCACCATCTACAGTATCATGCGATACAGATTCTGCAAAGTCATTGAATGCGCCAGCCGTTGGTGGTTCCAGTGGATTCTCATCTGCAAGCACCCATCGCTTGGAATCGGCGTCAAACTCGTACTCGTTGCCGTCATCGTGAACTGCAATGAATTTCTGGTCAAGTTTGGAAAACGATATGCGATCATCGCCGTCGAATTCTCGAGGGTCCGTAGGAAATGAGACGTCCATCGTGATAACACCAGACCGTTCAGGCACGTTGGGGGGCTTTTGAATGAAGTAGTGACTAAAAAGAGCTTGAGGTGTTGGCTGGATTTTGGCTGTTGATGAGCTAGCTTGAAATATTACCCTGAGGAATAGTGCAGTACGTCAGTATGCGTCTCTAAGGTAGGTACCTAGGTAGGTATGCTATCCCTCGTGGGGCCAACGATGGGACCCCAGGCCCCACCTTGAGTAAATACCCTCGCGTCCTACCTAGAGAGGTAGTTTGGTTCTAACCCAAATACATACCTATATACATAGGTACATACATACCTGTATCTGAGATATAGCTCTGATATCGATAGCCCAATAGAATGAGATATTATATTCATATTTCAACCCATGTTAAAAATCATGGATCTATTTTACTTATGAAATCACAAACAGAGATTGGGACAACTGGTCTAATGTCTAAAATTCGTTTCATGCAGGGTGCTGCCTAGTAACATGCATTGGCCTTCGTCAAGATATCTCAAGTATTGCTTCTTTCATCGTGTCATTAGAGAAACCAAGCACATAGTCGAGAATACACCTCGCGAGGATGCATCGCCATTTCATCTCTTCTCGTCCTCGACTGTCTTCTTAACGCCATCCACGAATGCCTCAATAGCTTGGCCACCACCCAGAGGCATGCCGCTGCCTCTTAGGTATCCTCCATCTTGTACCTTTACACCAAGAGCATCCGCAATGCTTGGCAAGCCACCATCCCGTATGGCCATTGTGAGACTTGCCAGGGCTTGATTGAACTGGGGACTTCTCAGAACCTTCTTCAACAGCGTCCGCTTGTCGTCCAGGGATAATGAGGCTTTGGCATCCTCCACAGCCGAAGCTAACGGCTCCAATTTCCCATCAACAGAATCTGTTGAGCCACTTGCAAGGACTATAATGGCAGGAGGGAGAAGGCTGATCAATGTGTCTGTGAACTCTTCCGTAGCCGAGTCAACCATAGGTATTGTGATGGAAGTGGGAAGTAGGTGGTTGAGATGAGGGTATGCCTTGTCGGTGTTTTGCTGCTGCTGTCTACCAGAGAGCCCCGACGGGCCTCGAAGGCTGTCCAAAAAGCTCTTCACAGCGGCAGCAGCATCGGCATCAGGGGCAGATGAAGAGGCCCTGGAACAAGGTCAGCACAGTCACATTTAGAGTTGATGCCATAGATCCAGCGCCAGGACACTAGTTCCCAATTCTCCTCTCACAGTGAAGAAATCTAGTTTTACACAGTTGACCT